CCGGGCGGCGGGAGCGCAGGGGATGCGGCCGCAGGCACCAGGTACCCGCCATGCAGCCGGCCGAGATCCAGTTCGCGCAGCGCCTGGCGTCCCACGAGAAGGGCGTCCGGGAGCGGGCGGCGCGCAGGCTGCGCCAGTACCTCAGCGTGAAGACGCAGCGGGAGACAGGTGGGTGGGCCGGGCGGCGGCGCGTGGCGGCGGGAGTGGGCGGGCGGGCCGGCCCGGAGTTGCCGGCCACCTCAGCCCAGACGTGCGGGGCGTCGCCGTGCGGGCGGGTTCTCTGCCGCGCTCGCGTCGGGGCCCTTGGGTGCGGGGGACTTGGGGCCCCAGGCGCGGCCGGGGGTCGTGCAGTGGGGGAACGAAAGCGAGGACCGGAGCAGCCGGGGGTCGGCCGCGTCGCTTCGCAGAGTGGGTGAATAGGTCTCTCCCCGCCCCGGGGGCCACCGCGGGGCGCAGTGTCCGTGCGCAGGGCGAGGGCCGCGCCTGGACAGTGGGCAGCAGCGGGTGCGGGTCACCCTGGAGCAGCTGCCGCCGGTCCTGCCGCTCGAGAGTGGGGGCAGCGCAGCTTCAGGGGCTCTGGGAAGGGCACGCAGCCGAGGTGCCGAGCCCTGCTGCCCAGGCGGCCCCAGACCGGGACCTGCAGTGCGCCCAGGCCCTGGGGGGCCCTGCGCTCGCTTCTTAGACTGAACTTGCTGCGTCCGTGGGGTGCGCCCTTTGGCCAGCCGCGCTCTGACTGTCCCGCTGAGTGTCCGGCTGTGACTGTCCCGTTCCGAGTGTCCTGGTCTGAGTGACCCGCTGACTGTCCCGTGCTGACTGTCCTGTTGAGTGTCCTGCTCTGGTGCCCTGTGGGCGTCAGGCGACGACCCCATAGTGACGCGGTTCCTGCTCCCCAGAATCTGTTTGCTGCTGCTCCTGGGCTCTTGTTGGGCTGCGGTTTCCTCCCAGCCGGACACGCGGTGCTGTGCCAGCCCCACTGAATGCTGCCTTCTGATCCTCTTGCCCATCTCCCGGTCACCTGCCCTTGCCCCTCCGCCGGGCTTCTCGTCCTGCTGCTGCGCCTCACTCCGTGTGCCCTGCACCCTTCTCTGCAAACCAGCGCAGGCCGCCGCCCAAACCCTGGGTCCTGGTGCAGCCTGGGCGGCCCCTGCCCTTCACGGAGCAGCCCTGTGTGGCGGTGCCACGTCCGTCCTCACGAGACCACCGCTCACTCCTCTGCCTTTGCTACGCCTGGTCCCACCCTGCCCACCCCGGCGTCCCAGTCCAGGCCTCCTTCCTGGCTGTGCTCAGCACCCTGAGGCCCGGCAGCCCCCGCGGCCCGGCACCCTGCCGGCGGTGTCTCCCAACCTGGGGGGAGCACGCAGTCCTGCACAGTACGCTGTTGCCTTGGGTGTTGGCCCCCCGCCCCCCGGGCCAGGCCCTGTTCGACTGGGGGTGGCTGTTGGCCTCTTCCAGCGCTTGCGCTGCCCGCGCGAGTCGCAGGACCCCAGGGCCGTGGGGGTGGCGTCTGTCTCCAGCCGCGAGTGGCCATGGGAGCCTTCTTGGTCTTGGTCTCCCTGCTGCGGTCCCCTCTCCACGCCGCGGCGCCCCACCTGGCCGCTCGCTGAGCCCCGGCCTGTCCCGCTGGTGGCTGCGGAGCTCGGAAGCGGGGTCTGCAGCCGAGGGTCCGGCGAGAGCTCGGGGGCCAGACCGCGAGGCGGTTTCCGTTGCGCTTCAAACACTGTTCCTGGGCAAAAGGGCAGATGTCGCGAAGTGCATGTTTTGGGGGGGCCTGCCCCGGGGTGGACCCGACCTCAGCCAGCGCACCCACTCTGCCCGCCACATCCCACCTAGCGCTGGGCAGCCCGGCGGAGGCGCAGCTGGCCACGCTGTGCTGGCCACGGTGGCGGGCACCGCCTCCTACAAAGGGCGTCGCGTAGGTGAAACCTGCGGGAGGAGGAGCAGCCGGGCCAGGCAGTGTGACCTAGCGCAGGCACCTTCCCGGTGGCCCAGCAGTGTGGCCAGAGCTTTGCGACCTCCAGGGCCCTCAGGGTTGGGGTGCGGGGGTCGGACGCAGCATTTTGGAGAGATTTGTGGGTTTGTGTGGTCAGCGGGCGCGATGCCAGAGGGCGCGTGTCCCAGGGAGGTGCCCGGCTACGGCCCTGCCCAGGAAGGCAGAGTGTGCGGGCTCACCGTCTCTGTCGTTTGCCTTCCAGGAGGGTTCAGCCACGAGGAGCTTCTAAAGATATGGAAAGGACTTTTCTATTGCATGTGGGTGCAGGATGAACCCCTTCTCCAGGTAATACCAACTTTGTCGCCGTGCCACTCAGCCCCCGTGTCCCACCCTCGCCGCAGCTCTCCAAGGCACCCAGGCCCTGGCCTCGAGCTGCCTGCCCTAATACAGCAGCACGCTGGTGGCATGGCCCCCTGGGGTGCCTGGGGCCTGCGGGGTCCCTCACCCCTCTGTGCAGAGGGCAGCAGGCCGGGCGCCCCTGCTAGCCGGGTGTGTATAGTGCCAGCCGTGCTCCGGATCATGCCCCTCGGAAGGTGGAGGCCTGGCCGGCGGGCCCCAGCTGCCCAGAACCTGAGCCCCACACATTTAACGCAAATGTCTCATTTTCTGAGAGGCCGTTCTGGGGTGCCAGCAGGTCGTGGCCAGGTGCCTCCTGGGTGCCAGCAGGGCCCTCCGTTTACGGGCCCTGGAGGGAGCTTGCTGGTGTGGGTTTGTGCCCCGCCGCTGCCCACGCTGAGGACTCGCGCTCCCGAGCGTGTTGTGAGTAGGAGAGAGCACAGCGCTGGTGAGTCGCGTTCAGAAGTGACCGCCGGCAGCTGTGGCAGAGGAGGGACAGGTGGCCAGCGCAGCTCCCCCCTGGGATGGCCCAGGCCCTGCACCCTGCCCCGTGGGCGGCCACCGGGCTAACTCAGATGGAGCCAGAGGCCCTGGGCCCAAGACCCCGTGACCCCGACAGGTCTATCTGGGGGGGTCAGACCTCCGCTTAGGTCAGACTGGTTTTGAAAGCAGGGCCGACCGCCAACTGGCTTCTGATGTGGGTCGTTTGGGTTGGTGACCAGAGACCTGAGTGTGCGTCTTCAACAGCTTTTAGGGCCTCCCTGGGGGCCAGGGGTGAGTCTCAGCACTGTCAGGCTCTCAGCCACCGCTGCGGCTGAGGGCAGCCCCGTCTCCCCGCTGCCCCCTCAGCAGTGGGTTTCAGGGAACCCGCCTGTTCTGCTCCCCACTCTGTCTCTGCTGGGTCCTCTCACCCTGCACCTCTGGCCCGCACAAAGAAATAAACGAAAGTAGATCCTTAGAATGAACACTTCTCGGAGGTGTAACGAGTAACAACCGGGCCTCGCGCTTGGCGAGATTCAGATGCCGCAGTCGCACCGGCGGGGTGCGGCCACGCGCGTGACCCGAGCCTCTCCCCGCCTTGCAGGAGGAGCTCGCGGTCACCATCTCCCACCTCGTCCACGCCGTCAACAACTCGGAGGCTCGTAAGTCCCTCTGCCTTGGCCTCCGCCCTCCCTGCGCTGGGGCAGCGCCGCTCCTCGCGCCCGTGTGGCCTGGTGCTGCGCCGCACAGATCCTGCCCGCGGCCCTGCGGGGCCGGGCTCTTGGGGCAGCCGCTGGCACCTCCAAGACCGCCGAAGCCGACTGCGGAGCAGCCCTCGGGGGCGCCAGGGCTGGGCGCCTCGGACACGCCGAGCAGCACGTGCCACCAGAGCACGGGGCAGTGCCCCGGGGCCGAGGCTGGCCGCGGGCCGCGGCCACGTGTGGACGGAGGGTCGGCTGCGTGTCGGGAAGGACCTCACGGAAAGAAGTGACGTCCAAAGTAGTGGCAACCCAGGCTTACTTCTGGCTGAGAAGGTGCAGCTGTCTGGGCTCACGAGAGAATAGGGCGTGCTCTGGCTCCCCCGCTGATGCCCGGCACGAGGCGGCGTGCCCCTGCCCTGAGCCGGGTGGCTGGGACGCGGCCCGCCGGGCAGAGGCCAGCTCCCGAGAGCCGTCTCCTGGAGCGGCAGGACGGCTCTGGCCTGCCCGCTGCTTCCTCTTAACCGTGCCGGAAGTCGCTGGCCTGGCTCGTGACCACATCCCGGCTGCCCCTGAGGGCTTGGGAAAAGGTGGCTGCCCTCTCGCTCGCGTGGCCGAGGGCCGGCCCGCTCAGGCCTTGGCTCCCGCAGAGCGCCTGTTCCTGCAGACCTTCTGGCAGACGCTGAACCGCGAGTGGGCGGGCATCGACGGGCCGCGCCTGGACAAGTACCACACGGTGAGGCCCCGGGCGGCCGGGCCGGGCGGGTGCTTGCTCCCACCCTGAGCTCGGGCGTTTCCATCCAGGCGAGCACGGGGCGCCGTGCGCTGCCGCTCCCTTTGGGGTCCCGGCGTCCCCGGGCCCCTCGGCCCGCTCGGCCGGCGCGCGCTGCCCCCCGCCGGTGACAGGCGTCTCTCCGCAGCTGATCCGCCTGGTCCTGAGGCAGTCCTTGGAAGTCCTGAAGCGGAACAGCTGGGAGGAAAGGTCGGTGGGCTGGGGGTCGGCCTCGAGAGCTTTCGAACCCCGCGGCACACCGGCGGGCATGTACCTGGCTGTGGCAAGGACCAGGGAGCAAGCTGGGGGGTTGGGGGGGCCAGGCCGTGGCGGGGCGGCCTTCCCGCGCCGTGGGGCGTGCTCCGGGAGCGCCCAGCCCGCCTCGGGCCAGGCCAGCGGCCGGCCTGACAGAAGCCGCGTGTTTTCTTCAGCCGCATCCAGCTTTTCCTGGACGTCTTGATGAAGGAGGTCCTGCACCCCGAGAGCCAGGCCCCCAACGGGGTGAAGTTCCACTTCATTGACATCTACCTGGACGAGCTGTCCGCGGTGGGGGGCAAGGAGGTGAGCGCCCGAGGCGTGGGGGGGCGCGTGGCGCCGCGCCGGGCGGCCCTCTGCGTGTCCACCTGCCGCGGCGCGGGCCTCTCCCTGGCCGAGACGGCTCCGTGCTCGCGCCCGATTGGCTTTCTCAACAACAGCTGCCGGCAGACCAGAACCTCAAGCTCATCGATCCGCTCTGCAGAATCGCCGCCAAGACCAAGGAGTGAGTGGCCAGCGCCCTCTCCGCGGCCCAGCGATGGCGGTGCCAGGCTGTGCGGGCGTCCCACAGGGCTCCTGGGCGCTCGCTCCGGCCTGGGCCTCCCCGTGGGCGCAGCGGGGGCCCAGGTGTGATCATGCTCTGCCCGCAGCCACATGCTGGTGCAGACCATCGCCCGGGCTGTGCTTGAGGCCGTCATCCATCGGTCTCCGCTGGCCCCGGAAGAGACCGTCGCCGGACAGCAAGCGGAGGCGGCCGGCACGCGGGGGGCAGGTGAGCACGCGGGGGGCAGGTGAGCACGCGGGCGGCTTTCCCTCGGCGCTTCCTGCCCGGCCTGGGCAGCGGCCCTCGCAGCCTGCCCGCGAGGGGACGCGCCTGGCGCCACACGCCCTCCTGCCCGTCCCGCAGTTGCTGCCGTCTCTCGGGCCCCGTGTTGCCCACAGGCAGCTGTGGCTGCGGGGGCCCGAGGGGCACTGCCGGCCGCAGGCTGCGAGGTTTTCTGCGGCGTCCGCGGTGCTTCTTAGTAAGAACAACGCCTCTGGCAGGAGGTGGGCTCGCTCTGGAGCAGCGCAGGGCCGCGAGGGGTGCCACCGCCCGGCCTGCTGGCCCCCCACCGCCCGCTGCCCGCGTCCTGACCACCCCCGTCTCGGGGGAGGGAGGTTCTCGTGCTGGGGGCTTGTCTGTGGCGTGATTAAAAGGCCGCGTGTGGGGCTGCTTCTGGAGGTTTCTTCACACGCAGGTTTGGGGAAAAGTGTCTGAGGAGTCATAAGTGCGCAGCTCGGTGGTTCGCGGTAAAGCAGAACCCCGCCGGGCGCACCTGGCAAGGCCGTGGGGCCTCGGCGGGCTCGGGAGTCGCTCTCTGCTGTGTCTCGGCAGCTCCGGGCAGGTGCCCCTCCAGGAGCGACGGGGCGCGGGAAGGAGGCGCAGGCCACGCCGGGAGCCCGGAGGACGAGGGGCGCCTTCTGCAGGTCGGTGGCAGCTGTTAGCTCTGGCGCGAGGTTTGGGCTGGGCTGCGGGGGCGCAGCCCCACCCCTCGGCCAGGCTGCCCCGCGGGCACGCTCAGGCGCCAGCTCCCTCAGGAGCATCACGTCCTGGCGCCG